GTGTGCGCCACCACACCCAGTGCAATTTCTAAAAGTGTTGCAGAATATGTAATAGTCAATATTAGGTCATTAAAATGTATAGTATAAATTGCACATTCAACAATCAAAATGTGTAAATGGACTGCAGTATATACATTTTACAAGCAACTTCTAAAGGTGTTGCATAAAGTGTATAATAGACCATATTATAGAATCAAAGTACAAAGAATGAAACGACAGTGTGTGTAACATTACACACAAGGTTTTGCAACTTGTAAAACTGTGTAATATATAGTATTACAAATATGAATAGCTAGTATAAATTGCATCATTTGTGTGAGTATATCTGATGGTGAATGACACTGCCTTCCTCCCTTATATCTTTGCTGTTTGGGGGTTTAAGGATAGTTTTTGCAATGCTGGGGATGCAGTCCAGGGCCTCAGAACTGCTGATCAACTGCTGCCCCCCGAGCTGTGCCCCCTGCCCTAAACTGAATTTTGCAAAAAAGCACAGCAGTGGGTCTCTCCCGGCTTCTCCAGCTCTGTGTGTTTCGCTTGGCCGGCTGTGCCCCAGCTGAGCTCTGCAGAGCCAGCCCCGTGCGTGGGAAAGTCTCCCTGGCCAGCAGGAGAGGGACTCCCGTCCGGGTCGGTCTGCTCAGCCTTGGGAAGGGACCTAGTCCTGCACAGCGCGGGGCTGAGCGTTTGATCCTTCCCCACACCGGCCCTTTGCTCCTGGGTTCAACTTTCCCCGAGAAAAACTCGGAAAGAGACCGTGGAAACCCATTCCGGATGGACACACATCACTCAGCTCTGCTCCTGCCCGGCCCGGGACTGAGTTCCGCCGTCTCCCCAGACCCAGCCTGCCGGCTCAGCTTGGATCCCCCCGCCTGGACCCGGACCCCAGTCCTCCTGGAGCTTCCTAATCCGCAGGTCTTCGCCTCCCGAGCTCAGCACAATGGGCCAGCATCGCTAGGGAGAGAAGCCAGAGCTACGTGCAGATGCATTTGTGCATTCATGCATTTTCTCTCCTTGAGTCTGCTTTTGTGGTCACCGTGCAAATCTGCCCTGAAAGTTCTTTTTCTGCCTCATCTCTCTCTCTCTCTCTCTCTCTCTCTCTCTCTCTCTCTCTCTCTCTCTCTCTGTCGCTCTCTCTCCTCTTTCTCAGATTTCAAAGGCTGTGATCCAGGCAGAGGACCCAGCTCCCGGATGCATGCACAGAGCTCCACAGTACGGAAGCAAGCCGCTTACCTGGGTGCGCTTTGGACCTCAGGGCGACTCAGACTCGCCCAAGCCTCCTCAGCATCTGAGCCCGGCTCAGCCTCCAGGGCCCAAACTCCGCGCGCACCAAGCACCAAGTTAGGCTGTCCCGGGGACAGACGGGGAGGTCTCCGGCTCGCGGCTGGCCCAGGCTTTCCTGCTCTGACTTGCAAGCTGGGTGCTCGCTCCGAATGGCAGGCAGCGTCTTGCTGCAAACTCGGCCTGCGGCTCTCTCACTACCGAGGAGCTCCCGACACCCTAGTGGCTTTTCCCACAGTGGGAGAGCCGCTGCCTTAAAAGTCCTCCCTGAGTGACAGCCGGGCAGCCTATAGTTACCCTGTGTTCTTTTTTTGTAGTTGCTTTAAAAATAACAAGGCAGCATGGTGGAGTGCTTGCCGAGCGCACACAAAGCCCGGGTGCAGCCCCGGGGCTGCAAAAATAAATCAAGTAGGAGAGAAAAAGACAGGAAATTACTCAGGAAGTGGCCGGGCTGGGTCTGGGGAGGCTAGCGGAAGCTGAAATAAGAAACCTCGCCCAGCCTTTTGCCCAATACGTTCGCAGGTTTGCTCTCTGCTGGTGTGGAAAAGAGGATCTGTAGGAGTCGCCAGGCAGAGGCCTGGGGAGGTTTTTTTTTTTGTCTTTTTTTGAGACAGGGTCTCGCTGTGCAGTGCAGGCTGGCCGTGAGCTCATTTTGTAGCCCAGGCTGGTCTCGAACTCGCAACGATCCTCCTGCCTCAGCCTCCCAAATGCTGGGATCACAGATGTGCACCACCGTGCCCGGCTCGACCTGGGAAGGTTTTATTAGGAGGAAATTGATAGGTGCGCACACTGAGAAAGGAGACAGAGACAGAGGGGGGTGGAGACAGACACAGAGAGAGACAGAGATAGAGAGACTGAGAGACAGAGACAAAGAGAAAGACACATACATTGAGAGACAAAGACAGAGAGACACACACAGACAGAAAGACGGAGACAGATGAGACAGAGAGAGAGAGAGACAGAGAAAAACAAAAAGACAGAGAGACAGAGACCGAGAGACACAGAGACAGAGACAGAGAGACAGACAGAAACAGAGAGAGAGAGAGAGACTCCTTCTCCAAAAGCTAATGGAAGCATTCTTCGGATTCTCTCTGTCAGTTCCTTTATCTTAGGATCAGGTTCCGGCTGTTTCTCTTTAATTACGCTAATTTACGGACTTTCAGGATTCCTGAGACATAGTCTTGGGCGTGATAGGTCGGGAAGGAAAGGGGCCTAAATTTAAACTGAAACATACCAACAGGGGTGTGTTGGGTGACTTGGGTAAAGGCCCAGAAATTGCAGTTTTGGTAAAAGTACAATTTTTAGTTGTGATTTCCTTTTTTTTTTTTTTTTGAAACAGGGTCTCCCTGTGTAGTGCGGGCTGGCCATGAACTCGCTATGTAGCCCAGGTTGGCGACCCTCCTGCCTCAGCCTTCCAAGTACTGGGATTAGAGGCTTGCTCAGCTCTTTGTCTTTTTAAAAAATCTTTTCTCCTGCCTCATTTTTGTCTTGGAGACGTTGATTCCTTATTCTTCAGGGTGTAGAAGTCCAGATACTCTGTCTTCTTGACATGCAGGGAGCTGAGGGGACGCCTGGGTCTTGCCTATCCAGCGTCCAAAACTCTCGCTGTCCTCGGGGACACGGAGGAAGCTGTGTTTCATTGTGCAAGCAGTGATGATGCTCGGATCGTCCCGATGAGAAGATAGAGACATTAGCAAGTCCTTGACACATAAGCTTTATTGCATAAGCTTGTCAGACAGGGAGGGCCAGAAATTAATTGTGGAATCTGGATGAGCACATACTGTAAAAGCAGGCAAAGTCCAGAACACACTGCAAAAGCCTCCTACCTGCTGTGTGTCTGTCTTGAGCTCTTTTCTCTAATATTACAGGTGCAGGGTGGGGCCAGAAAGAGCCTTCTCTGCTTATGAGGATTCTAACATTTAGCTGGTTTTTTTTTCCGGTACCGGGAATCGAACTCACCACCTTGCGCTTGCCAGGCAGGCGCTGTGCCTCTGAGCTAAGTCCCCAGCCCCGTGAGGAATCTCACATTTAATCCTCACGACAATGCCTGAACAAATACCTTAAGTGAATGCATCTCTCTGCTTTGGGCAATTGTGTGATAATTTTTCTCTTTCGTGTGGTCCTGAAGACTTTTTGTCACGATCGGCTTCAGGTAAGGCAAACGCAAGAACTCTGCAGTAGATGATAAAGTAGCTCATACCCACCACAGAGGGGACCAAAGTACGAACAAGATGCCTCACAGATGTCATTTTTATTTGACAGGCGCGCCTACTCCGGGTGGTAAATCTTTCCTGCAGAAGCGCTGAAGGGTAAATCAAGTTGCGTAATGCAGCGCACAGAGAGAGCTGGAAGGGTTACTGGATTGGGAATTAAAATTTTTAACCGCTGTCTGCTGAAGGTGTGGCTGGAGATAAATGTCTCTGTTTGTCAAGGGAAGGTTCGGCTCCTCTAGCATTATTTTGGGGACCGTGGACCGGGACTGTCACAGTCTTTGATGGAGCACGTGGCTTCCCTGGGGGTACAGGACACCCCCTTTTTGGAGACCGTTTGTAGCACAAGGTGCAGCTCGCTGGTTGCCCCTTGTCCGTTGGAGTCCAACAATCACCCTTCTTCGGAGGCGGGAGACCCACTGGACCCGCCGTATCCTGGCAGGGTGGCTTCATCTGACCCTGGGACCTGGCTGACCTTGCAGGGCGAAGCTCAGAACACCCGCTGAACTATTCTCCCGGTCATCTTTTTAGCTCCGGTGTCAAAGCCTCTGCTGTTGAACACTTAGATTACAGGTGCAGCTGGGCCCGCCTTGAGATGGGAGTAGAAGGCTTTGCTCCTAACTGCGATGATATTTCTAGAATATTTGGTATCTTGAAAATATGAATTCTGACCAGAGAACAGCGTAGTATTATCACGGAGGGTCGTGTGCTACGCGTCCTGTAGGTCATGGCTTAACATCTTAACGTGCTGCTGAAGTTGTGAGTCAGTTGTCACATTTAAATTTAAATTAAATTTAAAATGAAGAGCAAACACAGTACTTTTTTCTTGAGACGGAGTGTTGCTGTGTAGTCCAGGCTGGCCTCAAACTCTCGGTGATCCTCCTGCCTCAGCCTCCCGAGTGCTGGGATGGCAGGTGTGTGCCACCACGCCCTACTGGACATAGCATTTTACCATCAACAGTTGTGATGACGTTATTATATTAGAACGATTAGGTTTTTAATGCTCTAAAAATAACCTCAAATTCCCATTTTAGTATAAAATGACTTTTTACTTAGTTACCTTTTTTCAATTATAAAATATTAAGTGACGTAAGGAAGCTCATCTAAGTTAGCTACTTTAAAAAAAATTTATTGGGTAAGCAGGAAGTGCTTTTTAGAGAGGAACTTTATGGGTAAACATTGCCCATCCTTTAATTTTTAGAGTGACATTTTCTCGACTGCACACCGTGCAGACACGTGTAAAGATTATAACAAAATTACCAACAGTCACAAAAATCCAAGGCTGGAAGAGCCCCTCATCCCAAACCACTTCAGTCTGGAGGTCCTCAGTAGATTAGATTATTATTATTTTTTACGTTCTGCACCTCAAAAGTTCTGTATACCGGCGAAACATGGATGTATTTAATATAGCAGCTGTCTAGGCTTTAACAGCTGATGTACCTTTGTACAGTAGATGTAGTGAAAGGGGAAGAAATTGCTCAAAAGGAACAAGTAAGTGGAATGGGGGAAAAGAGAAAGAAAGGAAGGAGGGGAAAAAAGAAAAGATATGTACATATACACAAGACAGCTAAGACAATTGCGCTACTAATTTCTATCAGTTCATTGAGAGGAACAGTTAGCGCTTATATTGTTTGATCAATTTTGCATGCCTGTATCTGGTAATCTGAGCAACTACTTTGAAGATGATAATATGCAATACAATAACTATTATTAATTTCCTATCATCTTGTCTTGAAATTCTGTAGTTTTTTTACTGTTTTTTTTTCTCTCTTTAAAATTATTCTCTTTAGTGGTTTGATCAATATTGCGTTCCTACATTTGGTAATCTGACCAGCTTCGTTGAAGATGATATGTAACATAACAACCGCTATTAATTCCTATCATTTTGTTCTGAAACCCTGTATTGTTTTTATTGTTTTTGCTTTGTTTTGTTTTTGTCTATGTTGCTGGTGGTTTATTGTTTTTTATTCTCTTTTAAATGAAAAAAAATTGAAAAGCATTTTAAAAAATCTTTGGACCTCTTACAAGTTTAGTAGACTGTTACTGATGACAAACAGGTTTGTTACCCAATATGTACCTGTACCTCCTTTATCTTACGACATAATGCTTGCTTAGATAAAGCTGGCAGGTGTAGGCCAATTTTTAATTGGCACAAGTCAATTTCAAGAGGTGGTGAAATGTCTGATTATTTGTATGACTAAGCGATGCCATGTATACTGTATAAAAGATAGCGCTTACTGTTATTTTTTGTGGACCAAGTTTTCAAGCTTACCTTTGTAGCCTGTTTTATTTTTAAGTGGACAGAGGGTATGTTATACACTAAGTTGAGAGTCGTTTATTTAGCCAATCATACACTGATTATTGATAATATTGTACAAGTTAACACTTACATAACCTAACTTTTAAAACTCAGCTTTTTAAAATTTGACTCGGACCCTAACCATGGAAAATATTAAGAACTCTCTTAGTAAAACATGAAACCTCTGTTGTTTTAAATCTAGTTTTGGTAATTTTAACCATGAGTGTTTTACTATTTTAAGACAATCTTACTGCTTTAAACATAGAAAATTGAATATTTTCACAATAGCCAGCTAGGGTGCCTAGTGAGAAGTTTTGTTTATTGAGTCATACAAAATTATACATTAAAAATGTAACTTTTAGGCTATTTAAGAAAGCAATCTGAATCCTTTACAGATATTAATAATGTATGAAAACACATTTAATAAATTAAAATATGGTATCTTTTCATCAGCCACAAGAAGATGGCAGTTGCTATGAGCATGTACAGACATGAATCTTATTTATAGTTATTCATTTCAGCTATCACTGTAGGTCTCCCATGGGAACCAAGGTGTAGCCTTGCTCACATTATTAAGATATCATCAATCCACAAGCAAGGAAAAAACTCTCGAGTTATGGAACTCTGAAAGAATGGGCACTTCATGAATAAAAACAATTTTTTAAAGGTAAATATTTTCTTCACTGGCTGACAGCCTGGATGAAAAGATGTCACCAGATTTAAAGACATTTTTACCGGTACCTTCCCAGTCTAAATGAGCACACTCATTTAAGAATTGTGTTTTTAATTCCAGGTGGACAGAAAACATTTGGGCTGTCTCTCCTTTTTTTCCATGGAAGGCTTTAAAATTTGTTTTCACTTTATGGAAAAAACCCACACAACTTCACAATCAAATAATCTCTCCCTTGAGTGACCGCTCCTCTCTAAGCCAACTTCAGCGGGACTTTGCGGAGAATAACATGCATGTATGTGA